GAAACCCACGGCGAAGGTCAGGATGTAAACGGTGAGGATCAGAGCCGTGGACATGGCACCAACGCGGGCCCACGACGGGATCTCGGTGGCCCAGGAGGGGCTTTTGGTGGCCCAGGAGGTTCCCAGGTGGCCCAGGAGGTCCTGAGGTGGCCCAGGAGGTCCTGAGGTGGCCCAGGAGGGGCTTTTGGTGGCCCAGGACAGGCTCTAGGTGGCCCAGGTGGCCCAGGAGGTCCCCAGGTGGCCCAGGAGGTTCCCAGGTGGCCCAGAAGGTTCCCAGGTGGCCCAGGAGGGGCTTTTGGTGGCCCAGGAGGTTCCCAGGTGGCCCAGGAGATCCTGAGGTGGCCCAGCAGGAGCTCTAGGTGGCCCAGGAGGGGCTCTAGGTGGCCCAGCAGGTTCCCAGGTGGCCCAGGAGATCCTGAGGTGGCCCAGGAGGTCCTGAGGTGGCCCAGGAGGTTCCCAGGTGGCCCAGGAGGGGCTCTAGGTGGCCCAGGAGATCCTGAGGTGGCCCAGGAGGTTCCCAGGTGGCCCAGGAGGTCCTGAGGTGGCCCAGGAGATCCTGAGGTGGCCCAGCAGGGGCTTTTGGTGGCCCAGCAGGGGCTCTAGGTGGCCCAGAAGGTTCCCAGGTGGCCCAGGAGGTTCCCAGGTGGCCCAGGAGGAGCTCTAGGTGGCCCAGGAGGGGCTCTAGGTGGCCCAGGAGGTCCTGAGGTGGCCCAGGAGGTCCTGAGGTGGCCCAGGAGGTTCCCAGGTGGCCCAGGAGGGGCTCTAGGTGGCCCAGGAGGTCCTGAGGTGGCCCAGGAGGTCCTGAGGTGGCCCAGGAGGTTCTGAGGTGGCCCAGAAGGTTCCCAGGTGGCCCAGGAGGTCCTGAGGTGGCCCAGGAGGTTCCCAGGTGGCCCAGGAGGGGCTCTAGGTGGCCCAGAAGGTTCCCAGGTGGCCCAGGAGGTCCTGAGGTGGCCCAGGAGGTTCCCAGGTGGCCCAGGAGGTCCTGAGGTGGCCCAGAAGGGGCTCTAGGTGGCCCAGAACAAGTTCAGGAGGTTCCCAGGTGGCCCAGGAGGTTCTGAGGTGGCCCAGGAGGGGCTCTAGGTGGCCCAGCAGGTTCCCAGGTGGCCCAGGAGGAGCTCTAGGTGGCCCAGGAGGTCCTGAGGTGGCCCAGGAGGGGCTCTAGGTGGCCCAGGTGGCCCAGGAGGTTCCCAGGCGGCCCAGGAGGTCCTGAGGTGGCCCAAAAGAAGCCCAGGAAGTCCCCAAATGTCCCAAAAATATAAAAAAATTGTCCCCAAAATGTCCCCAAAAGNTTGGGGTCCATGGGGTGAACCTTGGGGTCAACGAGGTCACCCTTGAGGCCACCAGCCCCTCCCCCCCCCCAGTAGCCCAACCCCCCGGTGCCGTTGGCCGCGCCCTCGTCCCCCCTTCCGGCGAACTCGGCCACGAACACCACGGAGCAGTGGCCGCCGGCCAGGAGCCAAATGGCCGCCACCACGGCCAAGGCGCGGCCGGGCCGGCGCCGCCCCTGCAGCCGCAGGGGAAAAGCCACGCCCAGGTACCGCCGGACGCTCAGGGCCGCCAAGGTGAGGCTGCTCAGGTACATGCTGGAATAAAAACAGAAATTGGCCACCGGGCAGAGCGGCGCCGGCAGAGGCCAAACCATGCCCGCGGCCGCCTCGGCCATCTTGAAGGGCAGGAAGAGCAGCAGCAGCAGATCGGCCGCCGTCAGGTTGAGCAGGAGGACGTCGGCCGCGCTCAGGGAGCCCAAAAGGGGCCAGCGGTGGCCGCAGGGCGGGGCCGGGCGCCGGCGCCGTTTGGCCACCAGCACGGCCAAGGTGAAGGCGTTGGCCGGGAAACCCACGGCGAAGGTCAGGATGTAAACGGTGAGGATCAGAGCCGTGGACATGGCACCAACGCGGGCCCACGACGGGATCTCGGTGGCCCAGGAGGGGCTTTTGGTGGCCCAGGAGGTTCCCAGGTGGCCCAGGAGGTCCTGAGGTGGCCCAGGAGGTCCTGAGGTGGCCCAGGAGGGGCTTTTGGTGGCCCAGGACAGGCTCTAGGTGGCCCAGGTGGCCCAGGAGGTCCCCAGGTGGCCCAGGAGGTTCCCAGGTGGCCCAGAAGGTTCCCAGGTGGCCCAGGAGGGGCTTTTGGTGGCCCAGGAGGTTCCCAGGTGGCCCAGGAGATCCTGAGGTGGCCCAGCAGGAGCTCTAGGTGGCCCAGGAGGGGCTCTAGGTGGCCCAGCAGGTTCCCAGGTGGCCCAGGAGATCCTGAGGTGGCCCAGGAGGTCCTGAGGTGGCCCAGGAGGTTCCCAGGTGGCCCAGGAGGGGCTCTAGGTGGCCCAGGAGATCCTGAGGTGGCCCAGGAGGTTCCCAGGTGGCCCAGGAGGTCCTGAGGTGGCCCAGGAGATCCTGAGGTGGCCCAGCAGGGGCTTTTGGTGGCCCAGCAGGGGCTCTAGGTGGCCCAGAAGGTTCCCAGGTGGCCCAGGAGGTTCCCAGGTGGCCCAGGAGGAGCTCTAGGTGGCCCAGGAGGGGCTCTAGGTGGCCCAGGAGGTCCTGAGGTGGCCCAGGAGGTCCTGAGGTGGCCCAGGAGGTTCCCAGGTGGCCCAGGAGGGGCTCTAGGTGGCCCAGGAGGTCCTGAGGTGGCCCAGGAGGTCCTGAGGTGGCCCAGGAGGTTCTGAGGTGGCCCAGAAGGTTCCCAGGTGGCCCAGGAGGTCCTGAGGTGGCCCAGGAGGTTCCCAGGTGGCCCAGGAGGGGCTCTAGGTGGCCCAGAAGGTTCCCAGGTGGCCCAGGAGGTCCTGAGGTGGCCCAGGAGGTTCCCAGGTGGCCCAGGAGGTCCTGAGGTGGCCCAGAAGGGGCTCTAGGTGGCCCAGAACAAGTTCAGGAGGTTCCCAGGTGGCCCAGGAGGTTCTGAGGTGGCCCAGGAGGGGCTCTAGGTGGCCCAGCAGGTTCCCAGGTGGCCCAGGAGGAGCTCTAGGTGGCCCAGGAGGTCCTGAGGTGGCCCAGGAGGGGCTCTAGGTGGCCCAGGTGGCCCAGGAGGTTCCCAGGCGGCCCAGGAGGTCCTGAGGTGGCCCAAAAGAAGCCCAGGAAGTCCCCAAATGTCCCAAAAATATAAAAAAATTGTCCCCAAAATGTCCCCAAAAGTCCCAAAATTTCCCCCAAATGTCCCCAAATTGTCCCCAAAATGTCACAAAATCTCCCCAAATTTCCACCAAATCCCCCAAATGTCCCAAAAATGTCTCAAAATGTCCCAAATTTCTCCCCAAATGTCCCCAAAATGTCCAAAGCTTGTCCCCAAATTTTCCCCAAGTGCCCCAAAATTGTCCCGAAATTGTCCCCAAATGTCCCCAAGAGTCCCCAAATTGTCCCAAAACCGTCCCAAAATTGTCCCAAAAATGTCCCCAAATTGTCCCCGAGTGTCCCAAAATGTCAGAAATGTCCCCAAATTTCCCAATTTCCCCCAAAATGTCCCCAAATTTTCCACAAATGTCCCCAAATTGTCCCCAAAATGTCCCAAAATTGTCCCCAAATGTCAGAAATGTCCCCAAATTTCCCAATTTTCCCCCCAAATCGTCCCCAAATGTCCCCGAGTGTCCGAAATGTCCCCAAATTGTCCCCGAGTGTCCCCAAATGTCCGAAATGTCCCCAAATTTCCCAATTTTTCCCCCAAAGGTCCCCAAATTTTCCACAAATGTCCCCAAATCGTCCCCGAGTGTCCCAAAATTGTCCCCAAATTTCCCAATTTTTCCCAAAAATGTCCCCAAGTGTCCCCAAATCGTCCCCAAATCGTCCCCGAGTGTCCCCAAATGTCCCCAAATTTCCCAATTTCTCCCCCAAACGTCCCCAAATTTCCCACAAGTTGTCCCCAAATTGTCCCAAATTTTCCCCCA